ATCACTGGCTAAATACTGGAAGGCACGGTTCGGAACTAGACTGGAAGCTCCTTTGCAACAATGCAGGAGCAGCACGTTGCATCCGGTTATGGCCGGGGTATCATTCTTCCCTTTTGGACATTCCGTTCCCGCTGCGCTTTGAGCTCCCGTCTGTTTTCCTAAAAGGGTTTCCCAGGCTCATGTCCTCTTTTCAGAACCATGCATGGTTTTTGTTGCCAGGGGACAAGGCCTAGGAAGGAAGCATGCCATCACTGGTCAGTGCTTTGTCCTACACAGACTTGGGGTCATAACACAAAAATGAAACAGACAAATTTGGAGCTAAGAGACAAATCTGCCTAATTTTAATGGCTATTAAAATCCAAGTTGGTCCAAAAAAAGAAAAAAAGAAAAAAGAAAAGAAAATCTTTATGACGAAGAGTTTCCTTTTTGTGGCAAAGCATGGCACTATTGTGCCCCTGCTCTTATTCATTCTGACAGAGCCAGGAGTCCCTGTTCATTTTTAGTGCAGGAGTCAAATGAAAACTGTTCTCAGTTACGGTCCCAGACTTCTAATCTGGACCTTATTTACACAAACAAAAGCGGCTCTAAATAAATTCAGGTGTTCAATTGCAACACTGGGAGCATTATCATTTAAATCAATAATTCATCTACACACACACCTCAGACCATTCAAATCTCTGCCTCTACTATGCACATGTCATTGCAAGCACGATTCATCATTTGATTGTGGAAATCCAACAGTTTAGTACCCTTCATCACTTAAAAAATGAACTGATTTACTGGGAGAAAAGAAGCCACTGTTCAAATCATCTGTTGATTATGTGAGTCCATTTTAAGTCCACATTTTGCTGTCTTATTGTAAATTTTAATACCTTTGGGTTCTTTATTAGTTTTGACCAAAACAAGTCACTTAAAGACATGGACTCTGTCATACCGTGACATGCATTTTGAACTATTTTGGGACATTTAATATGATTTAATCCAGCATAAACACTGGAAGTAAGTGCAGTTCTTTACAATTGTCCTAATATTTTGCATTAATGATATAACAAGTGAAAGATTTGGGATATTACTTACCAGATTTAAACGAATGCTTCTAGTCTCAACCAGCCTATTAGAGAGTGTGAGTGCAGCTTTAACGCAGGACGACTGTGAGTGAGTTGGGGTGGATTTCCCTTGTACTCAGTCGGGGACTACAGCAGTAGCACAATCGTCGTAGTAGAATGCGCTGCTGAGAAAAGGAGGACGCAATAGAGGAGAGAGAGAGAGGGAGAGAGAAAGAGAGAGAGAGACCACCCGGTTTTCTATCACAAACAGAGGAGAGCGGCCACCCTCTCATCCCCGGACATGTGGTGCACCCAGCAGCAGCAGCAGAGGAGGAGGCACTAGCAGCAGTAGCAGCTCGGGCAGCAGCGGCGGTGACGGCGTCGCTTTCTACGTCTTCTGGGGTTCTTTTGTGTTTAATTTCCCTTCTTTTGTTTCCTTTGGGTATGAGCTTGCTGGGGGCCTACAAGAAAAAGAGCAGTTACGATGGATATGAATCTTTGCAGCTGGTCGATAGCGGAGGGGATAGCTTCAGCATCGGCAGAGGGAGCAGCGGCGGCACACTTGGAGGCTCCATAGCGGCCACCCTCGGACCGAAAGCGGGCCCGCTGAGAGAGGAGGACTGCAGCACCATGGACAGCTCAGGTAAGAGCCCCTACCGCCTCCGGCTGCTTTACGAATGGCGTTTGGAGCCTTCGTGGACGCGGAAAGGGCTTTAATGAAGGTGTTTTGACTTTACTGAGTGTTACCGCGGCCTGTAATTGTCTTGGTAGCAGTGGACAACATAATGGCTAACATAAGTGAAAGTAGCCTACAGAGGAATCCTAAAATCCCAGACCCCACCTAAGAGACTGTACTGAGCTGCTACTGTAAAATAGATGTAAACATATATGTCATATATGAATTTGTAAATACGCCTCACTCTTCTTGCATGACCTATCTGTCCCTATCAACTTCAAACAGGCTTCTATAGATGCAGATGTTTACTGTATCCAAAAATGTGTTCTGAATTTTTTAAACACTTATCAAATTTTTTCTATTAAAATTACGGGAAAAGTCTATGCAAAGTAATTTTATTGCTATATTTGGGTGCTATCTGCTACGTAGACCACATTTCATGGTTTATTTACTTTGCACATGGGCTTTAAGACCAAAATTCTACCCCAACTGTAGCGGAAATATCATATGTCAACAGTTAAGAGGATAAATCTTGTTTAGTTTGGGGCAGTAGAAGCACAAATCCTCTCTGTTTAGGTTTTAATCTGGTAGTTGTTGATGGAAGATTATAAGCCCCACATATCTCATCTATAAGAAAAACAAAAACCCCGTGGATGTTAGTACTCCAATCCACCAAACTGCTGTAATTTAATCCAGCTGTTTGAATTCATTGGTTTTGACAGATTCAGTTTTTTGTTTAAAAATAAGTCCTATAGGGTGGTATAGTTTTGGGATAGTTTCTGTTGCCTGTGCTCCTTCCATACTTACTATTCCTAAAATAGCAGACTCCATGATAAGAGCCAAATACCTGGCTCATGATACAAATATAAATTTTTGTCACATGCCAGACATTTGGCTCTTTCCATGCACTCTGCCACTTTTAATAATAGCAAAGCATTAGCATAACATCCTATGGACCTCTATATAGAGTCATGTGATGAATGTGAATATGAATGCTGATCAGGCTTCCTTCTCTTATAAATATATACAAGTAATAATTTGAACATGTCAAGTGTGAACAACCAACTCAAACTTAAAAATAATTTCCAGTTTTAAAAAAATTGAAATGACGACACAGTTGTCCAAAAATATTAGCACCGCAGTTATTAATACCTATATTACAGAATAACAACAACAATTAAAACATATGCAAAATAAATAAATAACATAAGGCTGATAGGCGTATCTAGATTGTGAGGCCTGTTTGTAGAATGTGTGTTCACCACACTGCAGTACTCTGTGGAGTCAGCCAGTCTCCAGAGATGAACATTTGTGTGAAACAAAAGAAGCTGGATGAGGAGGGGTAAGGAAAGGGGATTGTGGGTGGGGAATGGGGTGGGTGTGCGGGGGCACTCAGATGTGTCAGATGTCTGCCTGGCCAGTGTGTACAGACAACCTTTTTGATCTGCGTGTGTGTGCATGTGTGTGTCTATGTATCCATCTGTTTTTCCCCACAATGCTGGATGCGGAGGGGTAAAGGTTGGCACTCTAGGAGGAGGGAACCACATCCAAACAAGCTATTGATCTTTCTCACAAAGCCAAGGGCCCTCTGTGCTGCTGATTTCCTGTGCTCTCTTCCTCTAACTGGCCAGGCTAACCGCTGCTCTATTACCTGATAGAGCCTGTATCACAGCCTCCTCTGGTGTCTCCATTAGCAGGGTTTGTCACTGTAGTTGGCTCACTAGCCAGCAGACTCCCACATCCATCTGGTCATGGACACAGAGGCACATGGGCGAGCTACCAGACCAACAGGAAAGCAAACAGGCAGATTCTAACAGATCTGCAGGGGGATAATGACTGAAAAAAAACAGAGATAGGCAAAATGTGCTGAAGCAAAGGTGAGGGTCACATTGAGGGTGTATGACTACAAGGTAACCACACTCTAATAAATATAGATAAAAACAACTTAGGAAATATATAGAAAATAAAGTAAGCCTGCACAATAAAAAATAAATAAATATAACTTGCTTTATTAAGCACTGGCATCATTTCGATTGTAATATTTCAGCAATACAATAAAACTAAAGGCCCTAATGATCTTGCTGAATACACCAATCTGTACTTTTCTTTCACCACCGCTAAATACTTTCTAAGTTATCGTGTAGCTAGCTTAGATTTTTATTGTCTAATTTAATCTAGATTGGGATTTCTAAACTCTGTGGTCACACAGGATGATTAATGGGCCATTGAAATCATGTTAAATAAAATTTTTCTTCTTAAATATAGATTTCATTGCCTATTTTAATGTGAGTCCTGTGGAGTTTGGCATTTCACAGTCTGTCTGAAATGATCATATCTCCAGGCCTATGAAACAATTTGTTGTTGTAAGCAGATGCTGCTTCAGTTTAACAGCTTGAGAA